GTAAGTTATAGTAGTTTTTTTAAGTAGTCCAGTATTTTTATTACACACATGCACTTTTTTTTTTAAGTAGTCCAGTATTTTTATTACACACATGCACAGATTGAATCATTCAGAGAGTAAGTTATAGTAGTTTTTTTAAGTAGTCCAGTATTTTTAGTAAGAGGCTGATAGGGAGGTATTATGTATTTATTGATTTAGATATTCTTTCGAACACTTTGTTTTGTTCACACAGTTTCAATGCTTCTTAATAAGAAGCATTGCTAATTGAGTGCTATTATATACTAATAGATTCATCATACTTATATGAATTTTGATACTTTGTTTTAGTTGAGGGCCACAGGCAAAGAAATAAATCCTGTGAAGATGTATGGTACTTATCACCCAGACAAAAGGAAGAATGGAGAGCTTATTACTTGTGCTTCACACGATGTGATAAAGGTATTCACTTACTCTTTAATTTACTTTGTACTACGTACATATTTTGCTATATACTACAAAAACGGTTACATTTAAGCTTAAACTAGAAGTATTTAAAATGTAATATTGTTTAGTTTTATGAAATAATATGCTTCTTTTTTCCTGTAAATGATATGTTTTGTGATGATAAAAAATTGTTGCATTTTTTTAGGGAAAAATTCACACGAATAATCTCAACTATTGACAGTCTTCTCATATTAATCTCAAGTATGGATAATTCTAAAATAATCTGAAATTTATGGGTTGTCTTCTCATGTTGATCCGATGTGACCTACTACTTACTAAACAGGTAAACAAATTAAAAAAGAAAAAGGAAAACAAAGGAAAGTAAATGCAGGACGGACGACTCAAGTAGTCAAGCCTAGCTATGCCTGCGGTCATCTTCCCCATTTGCATTTTTTTCTGTTTTCTTTTCATTTTTCCCTCCTGCCCCTTTCTTCTTATTTATTCCTTTCTGATGCAATTGACGGATACCACACTAATAAGGAAGAAGAGTTCAAGTGATTTGGGTTGTAGCCATGTTTTCCAGATCCAGGATTGCTCCAACAATTAATTATTCTCTATTGTATTTCTTCTTTTTATGTTCTCCCTCCACCACATCTCATTATCTCCTTCCCACTTCAACTTCATTTTGTTTTACTTCGTATTTTGGTTTTCAACCATCTTCAAATTTTAACATCTTTCTTTGACTTTCAGATTTGAAAAAGTTAACTTGGTCAATCCAAACTCAAATTTGACATTGTTTATCATGAACGATAACAAAAAATTGAATGCTATTCGACCAACAGTTCATGGAGACCAGGCCATCTGGGATGGAAAGACGGATGGCAATTATGAACTTTTGACTGTTTTAGTGCTTTCAAACTAATAGGTGGGATTAATGATATTAACTTTTCCCTTTTTTAGTGATTTCAATTGTTTTAAGTAAATTTGACAGTTTGTGTGTATAAGCTTTTGCCTGAGGAAAGTATGAAACTGATTTCATTTAGTGTTTTACACAGTGTTCTAAAAAGCTTGAAAAGGCTCCGCCTAAGCCCGCCTATGCGTGAGGCGTGTGTGAAAAGCCCCGCATACATACTATGCGCCATCAAAGGCGGTCAACTGCTCTGTTGACTGCGTAGGCGCGCATTTTCCAGAAAAGGCGGACGCATTTTGCTTAGATGGCTGCACATCGACTTATTTTTTTCCTACCAGGTATATCGTGTGGCTCTCTCGCCTCCACACAATGGTTTTTACCTTTTGTTTCACTCTCTCAAATCCAACCCTATTTTCATGGATCTCTTTCAACTAGCAGATTCACGAGCTCTAGTACCATCTTGAAGCAAGAATTAAATTTCTTCATCTGCCACGCCGCTGAATTGAGGTACAGCCGTACAGGAGAGGGGACGTCTGGATTTCACCACGGGGGTTTGTTTTTTACCCTTTGCACTTAATTGATTGGCATTTATTTTAATCTAGTTCTTATGATTTGATTCTATGCTTATGATTATAGAGGCTAGGCATACGTTTCAGCTCATTTTTTCTTCATGCTGTTTGTTTCATGCCAAACTGAAGGACAAGATTCTTCTGGGGAGAAATGATTTATACATTTTTTTCATTCTTGTTAATTTCATTTGCTTAACGAAATGCTGGATTCTTCTTCTAAGATATGTTATTTATGCACTTTTAGATATCATTTTTGGTACTCTAATCATTGTATTGTAAACGAGTCTCAAGCTTCGAATCTATTAAACATATTTAGTTTAGGAAGAAATGTCAAGTAAGGGTTTGGGAGTAGATGTGGCAGTCCCAGAGCTTTTTTCTCAAGCTGGATAGGTTGGTTAAGAAGTATTAATACTGTTTTTGGGGGATAGAAGCAACCCAAGTCCCCATTTCTTCTACTGTTGATTAGTGTAATCTACGAACTGTGTTTTGACAGTTTTGGTATTATCCTTGCCTGTGATTTCTCTCTAATTTAACGTCTTGTTCACCATTGACCTTTCTACAACATTTTCAAATCAACAAAATTGGGATTAGGCTGTTTTTTCTTTTCTAGTATTCTTGGACCTAGCTAGTGGTACAAGTTGATTATCTTTATTCTTGCTATTTCATCTTTGCCAGGTTCAGAATATAACTTTCCCAGTGTTATCCTATATCCATCTTATGATCTTATCACAATACAGATTATTTCCACCCATTTTCTTTATTCTCTCTTTCTTAATACAGTTTTATTGAGATTTCCTTCTTTATTAGCATGGTTACTAAATACCTGTGAGGTTCATTTCTGTTTAATAGTCTGGCATTAATCCTCAAAGATTGTTTAAGCCACACTGCCTCCTCAAAGAACACTGATATGAACCCCAATTGGAAGCTGGTAATACAAATAGGTGTCTAAATGTCCCACTCACTCTTTAATATAAACTATTCACACTCAAATAGTCAAATGCCTAAAATGAAGAATCAACACAACTACTTTTGCCTCTAACACCTTAGTTTAATCTAACCAATGCACATTTTTTTATTTTTTTCTGTTGGCAGTTCACAAAATTGAAATGGAACAAAACACTCCTGCGGTGGATCAGAATGAGTTAATATGTGATTCAGGGGATGTTGGGTGGAAGACTGGAGTTCTTGTTGATAAGAAGAATCTGAATATTGTAAGGTGTACGCTATGTGAAAAAATTACAAAGGCCGGTATAAATAGGCACAAATTTCACATAGCAGGGATCAAGGGGAGAGGTGTTAAACCATGTCCTAATGCAAGTGTTGAGCAAAAAAAGGTGTGCCATGAAGCACTTGAAGAAAACAAGTCTCAGAAATTGGAGAAGATTTTGAGACATGCCAGATTGAGAGATGATGTTATTATGACTGCACAAATTAGTGAGGAAGAAGAAGCACCCGCACTTGAAGAAGGGAGTAGAAAAAGGCCCTTTTCAGCTTTAGGTCCTATGGATAAGTTTTCAAGGCCAATCAATATAACTGATGAGTCTATGAGCGCAAGTAAGAAAATGAAACAGCAGAATATCCATGATGTAATTGATAAAAAGAGGGTTTTAGAAGTTCATCAATATTTGTGCAGATGGGTATATGAAGTTGGAATTCCCTTTAATACCATTAACAGTGACACTTTCAAAATGTTTGTGGAAGCTCTTGGTCGATATGGCCCAGGATATACTCCTCCTTCTCAATACCAATTGAGAGAAACGCTTTTGAAAGCTGAGGTACAAAGGACAAAGGAAACATTGAAGAAACAAGAAGAAGAATGGAAAGCTAATGGATGTTCTGTTATGACAGATGCATGGACTGATGGGAAAAAAAGAAGCATTATGAACTTATGCGTGAACTGTAAATTAGGAACCACGTTTCTTTCTTCAAAAGATACCAAAGACGATTCTCACACCGGTCAATATATATTCGAATATGTTGATGGATGCATTGGAGAGATTGGAGAAGAAAATGTGGTTCAGGTTGTAACAGATAATGCTTCGAACAATATGGCCGCTGCAAGTTTTTTGTCACTAAAAAGGCCTAGGATCTTTTGGACTTCGTGTGCTACTCATACCTTTAACCTCATGCTTGAAGCAATTTCCAAACTTCCTAATTTCAAGGGTGTGATTCAAAGAGCGAAGACATTCACAGTGTTCATTTATGCACATCATAAAACACTAGCATTGATGAGGAAGTTCACTCAAAGAGAAATAGTCCGTCCGGGGGTCACTAGATTTGCATCCTCTTTCTTAACATTACAAAGTTTGCTTGAAAAAAAACAAGAGTTGAAAAGTATGGTGACTAGTCTTGAATGGGATAATACAAAGTTGTCCAAGACTATGAAAGGAAAAGAAGCATACGAGACCATAATACGTAATCAGTTTTGGGATTCTGTGGAAATGTGTTTAAGAGTTTTTACTCCATTGGTGAAAGTTCTCAGACTTGTGGATGGAGATGACAAACCATCAATGGGATTTGTATATGGAGAGCTTCTTAGGGCTAAGGAGGATGTCAAAGATATTTTGAAGAAGGAATGTGACTATCTTCCTATTTTATATATCATGGATTCAAGAAGTGAAGATAGGCTCGACAGTCCGCTTCATACATCGGGTTATCTTTTAAACCCCTTTTACACTTTTAATCTGTTTTGATTCATTGGTGAATGAATTTTGTGTTTGACAGAATTCTTAAGTACAATTTGCATCCAGCAAGCCAAAGAAGTGATTTCTATTTATGCTATTTTTGTGTTTGACAGTTTTGGAACTCCCTGGATCGCTATATAGTCACATAACAAGTGTAACATATAGAAGTTTTGTTGTAAAAAAATACCCTGCACAGAACTTTTGTTGTTTATTTTTTGCAGGTTTACTTATTTTGTGGTTCCAAAATATCAATGTGGCTTTGATATTTTGTAGGTCTACAAAATGTGGCAGAACTCTGTAATATTTGTAGCTTCTATTGGTAGCTATGGCTAAAATAGAATGTGGCATATGGTAGCTTCTATTGTTAAATTTATTTGTAGGTGTACTTATGTTTGTTAGTTTTTATATGTATAGGAGGCTTTGAGTAAATTGTACGATGTTTGTCAAGATGATAGCCCACAACAATCTGAACCTTCAAGTCAAGAGGAAAGCTCTACAACACCTAATATCTCTTCAGCTAAGTTATCTTCAAGATACTTGGAAATCGTTGGGTGCAACAAGAAAAGAGTTCTTGGAACGGGCAGTTATTCAAAGGCTTTCCTTCATCGAGTAAGTGTTTGTAATGCAGAACACTCGTCTTCATCAAGAGCTCGTCGGTTGCATGATTTTTGTGTTTTTTGGGATGCACGCATGAGGGAGTTCTTAATTTCAGAAGGTGATCAACTCCCCCCTGAAATGCCAATTGTGGATGACATTATTCAAGACAAGGAACCCGACTCACAGCCCAAGAACTTTGAACAAACGTGGCTGCCATTTTTGAAATCAATGGGGATCGATGCACCAAGTTTCTTTGCCACATCAGAATCCTCTAAAGACTCCATGGACTCTCTTGATGAATAACTCTCTCATTAGATTTGTGTTAAGTTTGATATTAATGTGTTTTTTTAATGTTGCATTTCACTATGGATTGATGAATGATGAATGATGAATGTTTATTTATTAGCAAGCTTTTGATCAATACATAAAATATTATGTGTTGAAAGTCTATTAGATGTTTTGTGATTTGCATTGAGAATTTAGATCTACATTTTTTGGAATATAAATCTTGCAAGATTATTTTGTTTATATTATTAAAAGTACATATGTTATTAAAAAATAATTTATATATTTAAAAAAACACTGTTCAAAATTATGGGGGGATGTACGTTATTTGGTAATGCTAAATAGGAATTTTAAATTAATATTTCGTTTTATATTTTTAAAGCATATTTAAAAAACAAAATTATTATTTTAAAATATATATCACTGACGGATTTTTGTGGCGGAATATCAGACACTAATTGTAATGGCGGAATTGCAGACACAAACTTCCGCCGCTACTTTGCTTCCGCCCAATTTATCCGACACTAATCCATTTTGTGTCCAGGTTTTAGTGTCGGAACATCCGCCACTAATATCCGACACTAATGACGTTAGTGACGGATTTAGTGTCGGATTTTCAGACACTAAACTCCGAAAATTCTTGTAGTGATTGTATTTAAATATTTGATGAAGACGACAATACAAATTTAACATTTCATACTACGTATATTTTCTTAATAAATACTATCGTATATTTTGACTATTTTTAGTTCATAATCTAAGATAATAGGCTAATTCATTCAGTATTTTGCACTACACTTCCAAGTTCCAACAGCTTTAAGTCTTTAACATGTTGAATATATTTCTCTATATCCTCAAGTTCCTTATTCTTAAATGTCATCCGTGTAATGTTGACAGAAAATGTCATCAAATAATTCGGACTTACATATGTTCCAACAGCTTTAACATGTCTTCATTAACTCTACATCTTCAAGTTCCTTATTCTTAAATTACTCAAATTCTTCGAACTCAAATTAAACGAACATCATATCGATTATGACCACTCTTAACACCTGACCACTCTTAACACCGTCTAGGCGTGTATGATGAGAATTAAGGAATCCCAATTTGTTAAGAAATCGTGACATTTCATCATGTTTTATCTTCACGCTACTTAAACAAATAATTCAACTATTCTTATTTTGTTGCATTGGAAATTCTGCTTTTCGGTCTTAATGAATTTGTGTCTACGTAATATTATTTTTTTTTTTTTGGATTGTTTTCAGTCCTTGACCAGATAAGATCAGACCAGATCAGACTTCCATTTTTGTAAAACACACAGAGACTAGACATTTACCAGGCCAGTCCAAATCAAATCAGACCAGACCAGACCAGACCAGACCTGCAAATTTCAGTCCAAAAAAAACATCCGGCCTAAGATAACAATGTATCCAAATGTACAACTTTTCTATTGAAATAAATACATATTTATTTTACCAAAGTAAAGATTACCTATAAAAATATAACCTCAAGTATAGTGAGCACAGTTGTAACTTTAGTCATACTAACGGATGTTCAACTTTTATACTTAAGCGATCATGATATTACATTATAGGAGTAATATCTTTTACTCATATACATAGTATCTTTTATTTAATAATTTTTATTTTAATAATATTTAAAAACAACTTAAAAACGTCTTTTCTATGTCACGTTGTTTGAACAAAAAAGTATATTTTGTTTGGTATTTTTGGGTACACAAACAGCCATACGTGCATTAGCACAAAACTAGGGCGACATATTTACTAAGAGTTATTTTAGTCCAGTATGACTTCATGAAATAAAATTGTGCAAGATGATATTAAGGATGTTTTTAATTAGAAAGTAACTTTTTGATGTGATCCGGTCTGATCTGTTATGTTTAAGATTCGCCAAATTGTCTTTTCTTAGTCAATGAGAATCAACTTTGATCAAGGGTACTTTTTAATAAGAAATTATTTAAAGTATGAGAATTATATCAAAGTGTTCATTATTCAAAAAACATTCATAAAAGTATAATTTTTTAAAACTATTTACAAATTTAATAATTAAAATAATTATCCACAATTTGTCATCATTGATCAAGAAAAGTCAATATGACGAACCTTTTTTAGACGGAGGTAGTACTATTTAGTTACATATTTCACAAAATACAAATCACACTATTATTATTGTTTGATTAGATTTGGTTTAACGTATATACATGTGGAAGTATGTATAAAAATAAGATCAATTTATATAGAAATTGTCTCATATCATATAGGACTAAAATAATATTGAAATACATGCACAAATAAGACTTCTAATAATTATTTCCCCTAATAGGACCATATTACTCCTCTCTTGAATCAGCCGGATTTCCTAGTACAATTTTGCCCCTCCTTAGTCAGCATCGAACTCCCTCTTCCTAACCGTTTTTTATTCCTTATTTCTATCTCTCCTGTTTTCCTCTCTCGAGAGTAACAATATCTCTCTTTCATTCTCCCGGTTTTCCGCTTTTGATTATTGTCCTTCCATTTTTCTTCCGTTTATTTTCAATTCTTTGTTGAAGTCATCGATCAACTCAAGTCTGCAATTCTTCATTATTCTCGTAACAATTTGATTCTACGTTTATCATGTATGTAGTTCATGTTTTATGATTTTGCAGGGTAAGTTAACCATATAATCATATATTGTAGTGTTTTGTTGTTGTTTTTCATTGTTATATACTTTTCATGGAAATATGGCCCTACTATATTGTATGATCTTCTCGTTCATGGTGAATTCATGTCCAGTTTTATTTCTTAACATCATGTTAATGAGTTGTGTTCATAGTGCTCTGTTTTGTATAGTAAATTTATAATGCCATATTCTCACTACTAGAAAAGGGGATTAGAAAGGACTTTGAAAGGGAAAATTGTTTCTATGTCTTTAGATAGGATTTTTGAAAGGAAGTGAGAATGATTCACGATAAAATGAAGTAGAAAGGAATTTTACTTTATTGGATAGGAACTTAATTCCCCTATCTATTTGTATATAAAAAAGTTATATTATTAATTACTTTAGAAAGGAAAGATGTTCCTTTCTATTTACAAAACATTTAGAAAGGAATTCTAAGCATTGTTCACTCACTCGGAGCCCACCAGTCCCTATTTTACCTATAATTCGGTCCATTTAATTATCCATTTATTATTTTCAACTACTTATGGCCCATCCATATGATCTTGTACTTAAATATACTCTGTATACAGAGTATTTGTTTCCTCCAAATCTCAATTCCCAATTGAATACCAAATTAGAAAGGAAAGCTGCAGTTTTTTGTTTCTTTACGGGATGAAGATTTTTTTAATCTGATTTTTCTCCATCAGTAAGGTTAGTTCAAATGTTATCCTTAGACTGTGTACTTAGTTTTTTTAATCTTGTCTTTGCTTCATGATTAATTTTAAAAGGGTCAGATTAAGGAAATTTTATAAAATTTCCTTTAGGCGATTATATGCATTGTAGTCATATTAAGTTCAATTAAACTGGCACAATAATTCGTATGTGTATGATTAACTAGCTAGTGTTACTTTTTGGTAATTTTGTTGTCATTTTCGCTATTTCTATTATTGAATAATATATTCTGTAATCTATTGTCGCTTATATTATATTGTCATGTCCTTTCTACTGTCATAGTATTATACATTAATTACTCTCTAATACATGTCCATATATATTGTGTATATTTTTTTGTTGACTATGTTCATTACTAATTATTAAAAAACAATAGTGTGTGGTTCATAAAGTTATGAAAAACAAACTACTTGTTATGGTAATTAACATTTCGAAATTGTAACACCATCAATAAATGATTTTTCATTTAAGGATTTAAATGGATTTGAGAAATGAACATCTATGGATGTATAATCAAGTCAATCCTGAAAGAAAAGGATTAAGAGATTTGTTTGTAGTTGGGGTAGATCATTTTGTGGATTTTGCTTGAGCACAAACTTTGTTTGTTGAGAACGGTGTGATTAGATGCCCTTGTACAAAATGCAAAAATCAACGCTACAAGAATCTCGGTGATGTAAAACTCCACTTTTATCAATGGGGATTTGAATCAAACTATTGACACTGGACTTGCCATGCATGGTGAAGAGATCCCACATTTGACTCAAAATGTGAATGATGTATGTGTCACATATTGGTGATGACGGGGATAAGATGTTGCTTTTGGGGTTGCCTCTACAGATACTCATCAAGATGGAGAATCCGAAGGCCCACATGAAAGTGCACAAATGTTTTACGAGTCAATCAATTCTGCACGGCAACCATTATGGTCGAGATGTACAAGAGATATTGAATTATCATTAACATTAAAGATGATGAGTATAAAATCATCATATAACATTGCACAAAAGACCATGAATGAGATTTTAGACGTATGTACTCGAACAATGCCTTTACCAAATAAGGTGACGTCCAATTCTTATCAAGCTGAGAAATTGGTGTCTAAACTTGGTCTTGGTCATGACAAAATAGATTGTTGTGTTAATGGTTGCATGTTGTATTATAAAGAGGATATTGGACTGGGAGAATGCAGATTTTATTGTGAGCCACGGTATAGGGAAAGTACTAAAAACAATTCAAAAATTCCTCAAAAAGGATGCATTACTTATCTCTAATTCCAAGGCTTGGTTGTATGCGTCACCGAGCTTGACTAAGCACATGAGGTGGCATTATGAAAATCAATGTGACATCGGCATGATGTGTCCTCCATTAGACGGACAAGCATGGATTTTTTTATCAAATATATCCTGATTTTGCTTCAGATTCACGCTTATGTCAGACTCGGTTTGTGCTTGGATGGCTTCTCTCCTTTTTGAATGTCCGCTAAGTCATATTCATGTTGGCCCATAATTGTTATTATGTACAACCTTCCACTATCAATGTGCATGACAACTCCGTATATGTTTTTGAGTTCTATAATTCCTGGTAAGAATAACCCAAAGGCTAAAATCTATGTATACTTATAACCACTTATTGATGAATTGAAATCATTGTGGGAAATAGGGGTTGTCACTCATGACATGTCATTAAAGCAAAATTTGTTTATGAAGGCCGCTTTAATGTGGACAATAAGTGACTTTCCGGCTTATGGGATGCTATCAGACTAGCAAAGTGCAGGGAAATTATCGTGTCCATATTGTATGGAATCCTCAAAATCTTTTTGGTTAAAGAATGGAGGAAAAA